AACATCTCTAGGCATTAGCCTATTATATTTAAACAGTAGTTAAAGAAGCTAAACTAGCAGTTGTGTAAGCAAAACAACTTGTTAAGGTATTACATGTACTACATTAATCTTTGCGGCGATAGAGAGGCAGAGGCAGAGGCAGCGCTAGAGCTCCCTACCACTCTAAGAAATTCCTGCAGAGGCAACAAACTACACAAGCTACAGCTCTACAACTAGAGCTTTAATGCTAAAACAATTAAATTAAAGATATTAGGTAGCAGTATTAGGCATAGCGTAGCAGTATTAGGCGGTGAAAGGAATAGGCGTAACGTGTAACAAGGTAGGCATAGTTAACCACATAGCCTTCTCTTGCTTATAGAGGTTTAGGCTAGACTAGAGACAACCGCTAGTGCTAGTGCTAGCTCTAGAATTATCTATATATATATTATACTATGCAAGAATACTTAGCTTAAGTATTCCCGTGCGTACCTTTTAGTATAGTAGGGAAAGTTGCATAGTATTAGCTTAGCAGGCGGGGCGTCTACCTTATTACACAGCGCTAGAGACCGCAAGGTGCAAAGGGGAGGATGTAAGAGGTATTAAGCAGGAAAAACAGGTTACAGAGAGGGAATGCAGGATAGGGGGGTAACAAGAGAGAGTAAACCTTAGGGTTAGAGGCAGAGGTACAGAGGCTGAGGAGCCTATATACCCTGTGCCAAGCCCTTAGGGTACTTAGGGGTTAGATAGCTGTAACATAACTGTGACAAAGGAAGACTATTGCAAGGGCAGGAACGCGTTAAGAGCTAGAGCTAGCTATTATTTACTTTTTTAGCTATATTAGTGTGTTAGGGATTAGCATTAGCTATATAAGTGTGTTAGTGATTATGTGAAGCTATATAAGGCACTAGAGACATAAGGAACTGCATTAAATGTATTCCTAGAGGAGTCCTTTACAGGAGTCTATATATATGCGAAATAATTAGGTGGGTCTTGGCAACAGACTGTGCTGAGATGCATACAACTATGGTGCTGACGCATCTAACCATTGTGTGACAACACATCTGACTATTGTGCGACTATAGTGACAACACATCTAAGTGTCACCACTGCAAACAGATTAGTTACATGCTATAGTTAAATGTTATTATTATTGTTAGATATGCGCACCTACTGTCAAGACAGGAGGAACGCTTAACAAAAGCTGCTACATAGTACAAGCAATAAGCTTGAACAGTATGTTGCTGCAAATTGCTGCATGTTGCAGCAAATTGCAGCATTTTGCAGCATGTTGCAAGCTGGTCGCGCATAGGGCTAGTGCGCGAGGGACTTAGATCAGAAAAACAAAAGCTGAGCAACATAAGTAGAGCAGAAAAAGGATTAATAAATTAACACAATTAATAATTATCCTATACATTATATCTAAACCTATTATTTATCTTAGGAAGCCTAGAAACAGTGCTTTAATCTAACAATTATACATCTATTACCTGTCTAATACTACTTTGCTAAGCATTATGCTGTAACTCTTCTTTAACCTAGATAACCTACTTTAATACGCTAACTATTACTGTTGCATAAGAAGAGCACAGGGACCTACTGTCGCGCACATAGGCCTGGTGTCTCGCCTGTGTTTCAGACAAGCAGCCTAAGACACTTAGCGCCTAAGCTCTCTATAAGCCTCTTATAGTTAATAGACTTGCTTCTTATTGCTCTCTAATTAGTAGTTGCGACAATTACTCTAAGCAAGCTTTGCTTTTACAGATCATTTATGAACTGTTGTAGTATTTTAGAAGGTATGCGACGGCCACCCCAGAGGACTAGTGGAATGCACTAGAATTTCCTTCTTCATTGTTGAGCGGCTTCGGATTGCTACTTCCAAGCAATTTTCTGACTACTAGGCTGTGAAGCCTACGCTATCCTAAGGCGTGTCTACCTATGGGAACTTACGATACGCTTTTTGGTCTCTGTAAAGATGGGATGGTAAGTAGCACAGATAGCACTGAGAGCAAGCTTTTGGAGAAAGATAGGAGTGTATTGTAAGAGAGACGAATCGCTGCCAAGCTTCGCTTGTCAGGATTTATGCTTATATACGAAGCACAGGTCATACGACCTCCAAACAGGTCAGGTGAGGCCATACTAGCCCGTTCTGGGACATCTGGCCTTACATTATCCCCCCTTATAGTAGTCCTACAACTTAGAGGATAGAACAGATGACAATAGGCCTAAGTAGCACAAAAGAGTGTTACATAATGCCCTAAAAACTTGCTCCTGCCTATTTTAGTTAATTCTATGCAAGTTTATTTAAAAATAACCTAGAGTTATTAGGTAAAGGTAAAGTAAAAGTACAGAGTAAAAGTAAAGGTAAAATAGCAGTATATCTCACGCTAATAGAGTAGCAGTTAGGACAGTATATATAGGGTCTAACTGTCCTAGAAATCTATCTCCTTTACACCTCCACCCTCTCTACAGCTTAGAATTTAGAAGATTCTAAACTTTTTAAGGTAAGTACATTCTAAGCCACTCTAGCGCAATCTAGCGCGAAGGGGTGCTAACAAGCTTTAATAGTCCCATCCTACCCTGCTTGCGCCCGCCTGTCGCCTAATCTGCTCTTAGCTCCTTCCCTTGTGCTTAACTTTACTTAACAACCCTAAAATAGACCTCTACAGCCTACTCTGTTACAATCTAGCTATAGTTTCTTTTAAGGAAGATTAATTAGCCTCTGCTAACATAAACTTACGCTCTAACAACCCTTGCGTCTAATGCGTTAACAAAATGTCCTGTAAGGGCATTATAGACAAGAGTAGTGGCTGTTATATACTTATAAACAACAAGTTACGTTGTGGCATAAAGAAAGAGGAAATTAAGTACACTAAGTATGCTTATTACCTTAAATTTAGTAAAAAGTGCTTTAAGGTGCGCATTCTAGCTCCTTCTAGCGTATTTACGCGCAGTCTGTCTAGGCTAACCCCAGATAGCTCCCTGTTACCTTTAAACCTAAACAACAGGCTCTTAAGGACGCTGTGCTTAACGTTTTAGCCCCTGTTAATCTACTTAACCCTGCTTAGTTAGCGCAGGCTAACGCAACAGTTATGTTGTAGGCAAACACTATTATTTAGTTTCTTTAGGCGTAAGTCTTCCTGTTGCAGCACAATCTAGCTTAATTAGCCTTGTTCTAGCTCTTAATAGTTTACAGCAAAAACAAAATCCTGTACAACAACCATCTATACACGCACAGTAGCGCTATAGGCAAAATTGCTAAGACTAGAGTTGTTTTTAAGAAGCGCGCCCGCTCTAAAGCTAATATTACTAAAAAAAAGAAAAAAAAGCATAAGGCGCTTAAAAAGGACTCTAATAAGAATAAAGCTATAATAACTTTATCTAAAAAGGTAGGTGCGCGCTATTCTTAACTATTCTAGCGCTAACTAGCACAATAGAAGAAATATAGTGTTAAAGGTGTCTGTGTTACTAAAGCTAAGCAACATTGTTATGTTAATGCTGCTAAAGCTGCTAATGCAATCCGCCGCGTCTCTAAAGAGCACAATAAGGCTAACAATATTAAAAACAAGGCTAGTTAGGATTAAACCTTAGCTAAAAAGAGGTGGCTAACTAGGTATAATAAGAAACATCCTAATAGTCATTCTGCTATCACAAATTCACCCACAGAGGACCTTAATGTCTAATCTAGGGCCCTAATGGCACAATCTAGTGTGATCTGGCGCATCCTATAGTAAAAATAGTTAAGAATGCATAGTATAGTGTAGTTTTAGGTTCTTTAGCTTAAGCTTTTTTCTTTTTTCCTTAATAAAGTTAAATACCCTTGCATTATGTCCCTTAGACTTAAAGTGCAACTATCTTAGTAGTAATAAATTAATCTGCCTCTAGCTTGCTTACTTTGCAGCTCTTTTATCCTAAAAATCCTAGAATGTCCTGCTAGACTTAAACTCTGCCCTTTTCTTGCTAGTATAGCTTATTCTAGGCTAGAATGTTTATTTCTTCTACATAATAGATTTCCCTAGGTTAAAATAACCCTCTTCTTAACTCTAGCAAGCTATTCTATGCTAGAACAGCTTTACTTAGTCTAACTAAGGAATTTTAGGTCTAAATAGGCCATGTTGTCTTCCTATTCCTATAGCGCTATTAAACACCTCTTATTAAAAAAACCTTAAGCAAGGAAAAAACAAGGTAAAAGTAGCTATACTTAATTTATTAAGTTACTTCCTCTCTTCTAAGAAGTTTAACCTAAACTAGCATAATTTAATCTTTTGCTATATATTCCTCTGCTCTTCTAAAACACTTTTAATGCGTTTAAGCTAATGTTAGGTCTAAGTTCCTATAAGTTCTTTTTAGATAAATAACCTTCCTATTTTACAAGATATTCTTATACTCTAACTAAATTCTGTCTCTAGTTAAGTATTTTCTTTACATAGTACACATTATCCCCTATAGCGCGTAGAGTGTCCACAATTAGTTCTAATTGCAACTTAAGACGCCCTTTCTAGGTATATAGCTCTAAAAGTAAGACATAGAACACTAGATAAACTTCTCCTAGATCAGGTAGGTCTACTTTATACGCCTCTGCGCTAATCTAGGCCACAACTTTCCCTAGTCCTAAGAACTTCTAGTCTAACTTCTTCTTTAGCCTTGTTAATTTTATGTGTCTATTAAAGACTAATACCTTATCTTCTACTTACAGCTGTATATGCTTCTGTTGTTTGTCTACATACTTCTTTTAATACGCATTTGCAGCAATAATTTTCTAGCAGCATTTTAACTATAAAGTAAGTGCTTTCGCAGCAACTCTGTTTGCTATGTGCGATTCCCCCTAACCTAGGGGTTCTCTGGGCCAATCTGGCCCTCTTAGGTTCGCTCTGTGGTATGCTTAGAAAGGAGTAACTCCTGTAGTCATGTGTACGCTATTGTTATACGCAAACTCTGCTATTAGCAACTACATTGCCTAATTATTTTATTCTAGGCAACAGTAACATCTAAGGTACTGTTCTAGAGTTTAGTTTTATCTTTTAGTCTGCCTATTAGTCTTAGGATAGTAGGCTGACAAGAGAATCCTTTATGTGCTAAGGTAGTAACAAAAACTATCCTAGTACTTTAAGTTTATTATTAGCCCTTAATTAAAGACAATGTTCTTTAGAACTCTATAAAGGCAAACAACTTCTCTTAACTAAACCTTTACTAGGTCTAAAGCCTCCTAATTAGCTCTAGCTAGCACGTAGTGGGCCATCTTAGTAAGACAGTCCACTATCACAAGAATTGCATTATATACTGACCCTAAGTATTTACAAGGGGGCAGCTGCGTTATGAAATCCATTGTGACATCCTGCTAGGGCCCATCAGGCGGTGGCAAAGGGTGAAGGAGCCCATATGGGCGGTGTTGTGGAGCCACTAATCGTCTGCACCTCAGGCAGTCATTACAGTACGCCTCTACGTCCTTCCTAAGCCCTTTCTAATTATATTAACGCATAATCTTTTTAAGCGTCTTTTTCACACTAAAGTGGCCCGCTAATAGGCTGTTGTGGCACTCCCAGAACGCTTCTGCCTTCTCTTAGCCGGCTCCTCAGGTGATCTTTAAGCGCCGGTTGCATCCGATTCTCCCCTGGCGTTTCGCTTCGACACCATTACGTAGGAATGTTGCCCTCAAGCGGTATGCTGGCTTGTAGAGCGATTCGAATGTAAAGATGGGATAGTAAGTAGCACAGATAGCACTGAGAGCAAGCTTTCAGAGAAAGATAGAAGTGTATTGTAAGAGAGACGAATCGCTGCTAAGCTTTGCTTGTCAGGATTCATGCTTATATACAAAGCACAGGTCATACAACCTCCAAACAGGTTAGGTAAGGCCATACTAGCCTGTTCTAGGACATCTGGCCTTACAGTCTTAGTCTAACGCGTAATCTGCCTTTGTCTCTTAGTCTCTGATTTTGACAGTCATTTGGAGAAAATGCCTCTCTTTCAAGAATTTCCGTCATCCGGAGCAATTATGCCGACTGACGCCGTGTGGGAAGGGTTTTAGATCAACCGAGTCGCCGTTTTCCCAAAGCAATGGATCCTCACACTACGCGATGAGTCGACAACTCCATTTCAACTGATCCTCAGCCTGTATATTCTGTATGCTGGGAACCGCTCGTGGGCCTTCCTTCAACAGATGGTGCTGCGTTCAGCCGTTCCAAAGTTACCAGATTCTTGCGAAGAGCGATGCAACGTTCCGCTTTCAGAAGTTGGGCCAACTAGTGAGGATGTAGACCATCCTCCGCCGTCAGCCCAAGAATCTGGAAGTGATGTTAATGTCAAAGACATTTCTCCCAAAGAAGCCATGGAAGCTTACTGGGGGGTAAGGTCGAATAAGCCGAGGATTAGGGCAATGCAAAGATATGGAGCAACGGTCCGCAGAAATCTTGCCATCTCAGCTTTCTTCGTTTGCGTCTTCACGCTCATTCTAGCACCCTTGATCTTTTATCTTGCATCAGAAGGTGGCAACAAGAATCCTTTGGTCGTATCAAAGCGGAACCGTAGTTGCGGCCAAGGTCTCTACACCGACGCGGTTCCAGCCACAAAACACTACCTTGACTGTCTAGAAACAAAGGGCTGTAAAATGGACATACTTGGCCAACTATTTCCGGAAACAATCGTTTCGGACAGTGATTGTCCTTTTCCATCAAACATCTGTATCAAGGGCCAGAAGAGTGTTCGTTTGGAGCATAAACTACTACCTCGAGATATTGGATACAACTCCCCATCTCGGATATCATTCAATCATGCTCTCACCTGCTCTCCGATCAACCTCGATCCCTTTACCAAGTGGCCGACTATCAAATTGAACGACCTGGCCGGTTGTCCTAAATTGGGATTTCTTGCGTTTATCAATACGAGACACGAAAGGTATAATTTTAGCATTGCAGGACAATACGTCGACACCATCTGCACTCTGAATGGTCCAAACAAGTTTTCCTCCAATTATTCCGGGTGGAAGGGTCAAAACAAGGATCGCATATACCGACAGGGCATGGGGCTTCATCCAATACCCTCTAAAATACCACTGGATCGTGATGAGCATCGCCTGATCTCACCCCATCTCTACCGAGCTAATGGCACGTCCTTTGTCACGCTCTTCTACGCAGGTCCCACTAGATTTACAGCAGGTGGAACGGAAGACCCCATTGAGGACCCGATATTCAGCGCACATCGGGTCGCTCCTGGTGATTGGCCTTCTTCTTTGTACCCTGATCGGGAAGCCACGGCTCTCGCTTGCGTAGAACAATTTCGCTTCTGCAATCCACAAGGAAATTGCTCAACCTGGACTGGAATCAACGATGATGATCTTTTTACTTGCGACAAAGGTTTCCCTACAGGATTGGAATGCATACCTCGCTTTCGGACGGATTGGCACGACAGCACAAACCCTATAACCGAAGATCTGTTCTTGATGGCACACATACTCTTCTTTCGGAGCTCCGTGCAGCGGTACCTAAAAGAGAATCCGAGGTTCCTCAAAGCCAAGGGTCAGGGTCAACGGGAGGTCTGGGTGGATCGGACCTCGCAGTGGAAGATCGAAGTACAGGCCTGGTTCGAAGCTTCGTTCGTACGGGCTCGCACGGTGCTGTACAACATTATCACTCGGGATGAGTTCAGTTATGGCACGGAGTGGTGGGACTTATTTCTTTTTTATGCGATCCATCACAATAAGGCATTGTGCCAAAGCCTGCTTTTCCGAAGTCCGAAACACACCAATTACAATGTTTTCGGCCTAATGACAACTCTTCTACCTATATCAATCCCAGTGTTCTGGGATGTGTATAGAAAGAGGTCTACAGTGTTGGGGGCAATAGTGAAGGGGTACAATTGGATTGCCTGTGCTGCGAAGTTGACATACAACGTATTATCGTTAGTCGTGCGGTGGATAGTGAGTCAGTTCCGGTAGCACATACCGTGCATGTGCACCAAATGCGCCCATTCGGCAGATGCGCCAACAAAATGCCTCAATATTTACAACCTCACAACTCCACCAATATGGCACCAATTAACGACGCAATTGCAGAAATAGAATCGCTTGGACCAAGCGGAAGTTAGTCTTATAGAAAAACTACAAAGAAATATGGCGCTATGCGCTTAACGTTAATTAGAAATTACCAGGGTCTTACATAGCTAATAGAAGGGCAGTGTTAAGATTCCTTGGCTTGGACTAGCGTAGTGCTCGAAGACCTTTGGAAAGTACAAGGGGTGATTAGTAAGGAAGGTTGGGTTGGTTCTCGGGGAAGGATGACTAAGAAGGTTCACAACGGGTGGTGATACTCAGATAGTATAAAGTAGATTATCTACCAGGAGTATCGGGTAACCAATGTATTGAGCGGTAGATAACAAGGTAGAATAAGATGGTCCTTAGGGGTCCATCGTGAGGCTCTATATACATAAGGATGGGGTACTTTGCTCCCACTGCTCTCTTCGGATCAGCAGGGTGTACAGAGCAGTCCGCTCCGTTGCTCTGTTGGATCTCTTAAGATGGTGAGGCATGCAGAGCGCTAAGCCGTATTGTTTAGAAAGTAACTTGTGTCTTAGGTGATTACAGAGTATTCTCCTTTGGTTGGTTAGTCATATCAGGGCTGGCGCCAGTGGCCGTAACATTAGTAGGACATGATTGGATCCCAATAGCCCTAGCAGCAGAGGATTAAGGACGGAAAGGCCCAGTAGGGCCTCGGCAGCTAAGTCACGTGCGTTATCATGCACAAGCTCGAAGGCAAGTAGAATTCTTGAGTCGTCTCCCCCGTCAGCAAGGTGCCACTGGAGGGCTGAAGTGGAGAACGGTCCGCATTGACGCGATACCCTGGATAAGCGTTGTCAAGGATAGCCTCCAGCGCCGTGTACTTAGCCGTATTCACCAGTTTCAGTCCTTGATGGGTATTTTGATCAATCTCAGGGCGATACCCTGTCTCCGATTGAGCGTGAACGACTCGACCAGCGGCTTCCCTGCCTCAGTGAAGGAGGTAGACAGTCCAAAGCGAACACTGGATGACAAGACGAAGAGCTTGCACCTAATACATCCACGCTCTGTACTGCTCACTCTTCAAAATAATTAGCATAAAAATGCAGGCTAGACTCATTCGGATCTCAGACGACGCCTTGGATACCAAGGAAATTACGGCTGGCTTCATTCGCTTCCCGTAGAGGTTAAAGGGTATATACAAACCCCTTCTCTAGCACTGAAAATTTCCATTTTACATACCACTCCCATTTTCTGAGGGCTAAAAAGCTTGTGCTTATCGGTCACGTGGGTTTTCGGAGGAATCAAAGGCGAGAGAGAGCAGTGCTGGCGAGAGATCGATCCGATTCGTGGATCGATCCGAATCCACGCTATCCTGAATCTAGATTAGATCCTTAAATTAATTTATAGTCTTAGCTAAAAATTTGCTTCTCTATTAACAAAACAACTTTAAAAGTCTTATATAATAGAATTTTATAAATTAAGCTTAACTCTAGTGCCTAAAAATAAGGGCAGTAACATTAGAAACTTTGTATAACTACTAATGTCTAATAAACCTACTAAATAAAACAGCTGTCTTCTTTAATACTACAATTTTTATAATTATAACTACACTTTAAAAGTTATTATAAACTTTTAAAGGCACTTAAAATCTAACTACTAAGTTTTAGTAAAAAGTACTTTTTCTTTTATATAACAAGCAGGTGCTATTAAACTCTAAGAGCTATAAAACTGCGCAAAACCTTATATAAAAAAAGATATATAGAATGCTGCGTTTAGAGCCTATCTAAATAAAGATATTATTTAAAAGGCTTTTATATAACTAATTATTTAACAGTGTTTTACTCTTTTAGTTATTAGATTATTATTTTTTAAGCTTTTATATAAGCATTAAATCTTATTACTAAAAAGGCTATTTTAGTTTTACACTTTACTATTTATATAGTAATCTAAAGCTATTAGTATAAAAAGAAGCTTATTCTTTAGCGTAAGATTTAAATAGTAACTTTAAAAATTAATATTATACTTAATCTCTAGACTTTTTTAAACTAAATTCTATTTATTATAATTACTAGACACTTTATATAAAGTTTAGATAATACTATTACTAAACACCTTCTTACTTTATAACTAGTTTTAGGCTATTTTAGTAAAGAACAGTTCTCTGTACTTTATACAGTACTTAAGAAGTAAAATACTACAACAGTTTATAAATAATCTGTAAAAGCAAAGCTTGCTTAGAGAAATAGTTAGTACATTAAGGTAGGTTATTTAGGTTAAAGAATAGTTATAGCATAATGCTTAGCAAATTAGTATTAGACAGGTAATAGACACATCATAATAATATTTAACTATAGCATGTAACTAATTACAGCCTGTAACTAAGCGTAGCTAATACTAATCTCTAACACACTAATATAGCTAATACTAATTATTAACACACTAATATAGCTAATGCTAATCCCTAACACACTAATATAGCTAAAAAAGTAGAATAAACATAACTAACTATAATTTAAATATGTTTTATATAACATATACTAGAGTAAACTACATGTAAATTAATATAAAAATGTAGGTATATTAAGTATACATTATTTTAAAAAAGAATAACGTACTTTATAGGCGAGTCGCTCACACACCTGAGTCGCTTACTTTTGCCAAGACCCCACCCTAACAAACTCTATTATAGCCCATAACAACCCGCTCTGGCACTATATAGTACAGTATAGCTTAGAATATTATTTAGATACTACTTCTGCTTCTTGCTTACACATTTGCGCGTTATGCCTAGTCTAATTGCACTGTCTGCAGCGCCTTTAGGATAGTGTTACAATCCTTGCTTCGGGAAGCACTCGGGTCTTATGATGTTCCTAGGGGGGAAGTAGGACGGATAGTAGGGGCCAATCCGGTAGGGTGTACAGTCCTACGTACAGGCTATTAGGCTAATAGAGGGAGGGAGAGTGACTAGATTATAGTTTACCCTATGTATAGCAGTAGAGAGGCTAGAGTTAAACAGTCCTATTAGACAGAGTTAAAGGTATATATAGTGTAAGATATATAAATAGTATTACAGCTTTTTAAAAAGCTAAATGCTACTTAGTTTATATAATAAATAAACTAAATGTTAAACACACTTTTTAAAGGTTGTTTAATATAGGAACTATATACATGTGTAGGGGACACTAAGGCAAGCTAGATAAGCCTACATAAGCCTACTAAGTAGGGCTTGCTAAGCTTTTCTAGACTTATAAAATTTATGTCTTATTCTCCTATTAGACAACACATTCTTCTATAATCTTAGGTAGCTGTGCTACCTCTGCGTCCTCTGCTTAGTCTGTAAGCAAGTCCCGCTCTAACTGTACTATATTGTAGAGCATCCTAGGTGGAGTTACGCTAGTCTAACTGTAGACTGTAACACGCTGCCCCTTCTTCCTAGCAGCGTTCTTACTGCTTTGCTTACACAACTGTGTTAGTAAGAGCTTATTTATAATGTTAGTGCTCTTTTACTAAAAAGCATTTCTAATATTTATTTTTTTTATGCTAAATAGCTTACTAGTTTTATTTATTTTACTATCTTTATGTTATTTATTATTTTAACTTTTTTTACTAGATAAAAATAAGGCCTTATAGTACTTACTAATTTTTAAAGTTATTTTATGTGTTAACTTTATCCTTAGATAAGTGCGTTAAGTGTGTAAAAAAAAATAGTAAATGCAACACTTTTATTTTTAATGTTGTGTAGGATTATTTAGAAAAAAAGAGAAAAACACTTTTTTAAAAAGTAGTTACTATAAAGGCTTAAAAGTAAAACTTTAATAATAAAATGTTATATTAGGTTTAGAAAACTTTAGAGGCAAAGGCTAGAAAGTATTCTAAGTAGAATTATATTTAAAAGTTATTAAATTTATTAGAAGCTTATTATATAAAGTACTTAAAAAAAAACTTATTTTTCTTAAATAAAATAAAAGCTTTTAAGGCTAAAGTAAAGAGCTATTTCTTTTTTTAACTATTATTTACTAGGACTTATCTCTAAAGGCTGCTGCTATTTAGTAATAATGTAGCTGTTTCTTTTAATATAGGTGCTTTATTACTTAGCTAGTTTCTTTTAGATAAGCTTAAAGGTACTTTTATACTAATAGCTACATATTCTTTAAATTCTTAGCTAGTTTTTATATATTTTTACTAGTAAGCTACTTTTTTTATTTTACTAAAAATTCTTTTTAGTTTTTTTAATTACTAATAATATGTTTAACTTTATATTTTACTTCTTTGTCCTTTTATTTTTAAGTAGATAAGGGGACTTCTTTAAGTGCTTTTTCTAGTCTAGAGATGTAGAACTATAGGTGTATTTTTATATGCAGGGGAAGCTTAAGCTTATAGTTATTCTATTAGGTCTAAAGGACTTTATATAGTCTTATTTTTTTTTCTACTAGCTTTCTAGAAGGTCTAGGTATCTTAAGGTTTTTAGTGTTAAGATACATATAGTCTTCTAGGTAAATTTCTAGTCCTAGTTGTTATAATTTATTTGCATACTTTTCTATTATTACTTTACTAGATTTTGCTTTAACAGCTAACTTTTTATGTATTTAATGTAGGTCTGTTAGCTAATTTATTAATTTTTATAAGTCTGTAAGTTAACTTCTATGTAATATAAAGTATAAGTTATATTTAAAATTAGCTTTATATAGTGTTTCTTTTATTATAGCTAATTCTATGTTATTAATTACTAGTTACGCTATTAGAAGCTATTCTAGCTAGTTATTTTAAGTATAGAAAATGTACTTTTTTAAATATTTTTTTATTTCTACATTTACTCTTTTAGTCTGTCTGTCTGTTTGTAGGTAGTAGGCTATTAATAGCTTATATGCTATGCTAAAGTGCTGCATTACTACTTTTTAAAAACTACTAGTAAATAGCTTATCTTAGTTAGAGATAATAATCTTAGGGCATTTATATACTAATATTATATTTTACTTTAATTTATAAATAAATTTCTTAGCTGTTATTATTTTTTTTAAGGGCTAAGTATATAAATACTTAGTA